AAGTACACTGTAACATTCTTATATCGTTACTAAGCCCAGGAAGTACACTGTAACATTCTTATATCGTTACTAAGCCCAGGAAGTACACTGTAACATACTTATATCGTTACTGGGGCCAGAAAGTACACTGTAACATTCTTATATCGTTAATTAGACCAGGAAGTACACTGTAACATTCTTATATCGTTACTTAGACCAGGAAGTACACTGTAACATTATTGTATCGTCACTAAGACCAGGAAGTACACTGTAACATTATTGTATCATAACTAAGACCAGGAAGTACACTGTAACATTCTTATATCGTTATTGAGACCAGGATGTACACAATAACATTCTTATATCGTTATTGAGACCAGGAAGTACACTGTAACATTCTTATATCGTTACTTAGACCAGTAAGTACACTGTAACATTCGTATATCGTTATTGAGACCAGAAAGTACACAATAACATTCTTATATCGTTACTTAGACCAGGAAGTACACTGTAACATTTTTTTGTCGTTATTGAGACCAGGAAGTACACTGTAACATTCTTATATCGTTACTGAGACCAGGATGTACACTGTAACATTTTTTTTTGTCGTTATTGAGACCAGGAAGTACACTGTAACATTCTTATATCGTTACTTAGACCAGGAAGTACACTGTAACATTCTTATATCGTTATTGAGGCCAGGAAGTACACTGTAACATTCGTATATCGTTACTGAGACCAGGAAGTACACGGTAACATTCTTATATCGTTACTTAGACCAGGAATTGCACTGTAACATTCTTATATCGTTACTTAGACCAGGAATTGCACTGTAACATTCTTATATTGTTACTTAGACCAGGAATTGCACTGTAACATTCTTATATCGTTACTTAGACCAGGAATTGCACTGTAACATTCTTATATTGTTACTAAGCCCAGGAAGTACACTGTAACTTACTTATATCGTTAGTGAGGCCAAGAAGTACACTGTAAGATTCTTATATCGTTACTAAGACCAGGTAGTACACTGTAACGTTTTTACATCGTTATGAGAGCAGGAAGTACACTGTAACATTCTTATATCGTTACTGAGACCAGGATGTACACTGTATAATTCTTATATTGTTATTGAGACCAGGAAGTACACTGTAACATTTATATTTGCTCAGTAAGACCAGGATGTAGACAATAATATGACTTATAATATCCCATTTGTGTGTACTCGGTGTTATCTAGTCCAATAAAATAAACATCATGACTGTTACGATTATATGCTTGTTCTTCAGGATATTTTGAGATGTTTAGTTTTGCCAATCGTTAGAAACCACCTTTTTCCTTACTTTGTTAGTTGGGATTGATCAGTATTTGTTGATCGTATTCAGATAGAGATGATAAAGAAACTTATTGTAAAAAGTACAAAAAATACAAGGAGACTTCAAGTTAGATGTCAGTTGGTACACAATGTTAGATGTCAGTTAGTACACAATGTTAAATGTCAGTTGTTACACAATGTTAGATGTCAGTTGTTACACAATGTTAGATTTCAGTTAGTACACAATGTTAGATGTTAGTTAGTACACATTGTTAGATGTCAGTTAGTACACAATGTTAAATGTCAGTTGTTACACAATGTTAGATGTCAGTTAGTACACAATGTTAGATGTTAGTTAGTACACATTGTTAGATGTTAGTTAGTACACATTGTTAGATATTAGTTAGTACATAATGTTAGATGTCAGTTGGTACACAATGTTAGATGTCAGTTAGTACACAATGTTAAATGTCAGTTGTTACACAATGTTAGATGTCAGTTGTTACACAATGTTAGATGTCAGTTAGTACACAATGTTAGATGTTAGTTAGTACACATTGTTAGATGTCAGTTAGTACATAATGTTAGATGTCAGTTAGTACACATTGTTAAATGTCTGTTGGTACACATTGTTAGATGTTGGATGTCAGTTGGTACACAATGTTAGGTGTTAGTTAGTACACAATGTTAGATGTCAGTTAGTACACAATGTTAGATGTCAGTTAGTACACAATGTTAGATGTTAGTACACAATGTTAGATGTTAGTTAGTACACATTGTTAAATGTCTGTTGGTACACATTGTTAGATGTTGGATGTCAGTTGGTACACAATGTTAGATGTCAGTTAGTACACAATGTTAGATGTTAGTTAGTACACAATGTTAGATGTTAGTTAGTACACATTGTAAGATATCAGTTGGTACACAATGTTAGATGTCAGTTAGTACACATGGTTAGATGTTAGTTCACATTGTTAAATGTCAGTTAGTAAACACTATTATATGTCAGTTAATATACAATGTTAGATGTCAGTTGGTACACATTATTAGATGTCAGTTGGTACACATTGTTAGATGTCAGTTAGTACATAATGTTAGATGTCAGTTAGTACATAATGTTAGATGTTAGTTAGTAAACAATGTTAGATGTCAGTTGGTACACATTGTTAGATATTAGTTAGTACACAATGTTAGATATTAGTTAGTACACATTGTTAGATGTCAGTTGGTACACAACGTTAAATGTCAGTTAGTACACAATGTTAGATATTAGTTAGTACACATTTTTAAATGCCAGTTAGTACACAATGTTAGATGTCAGTTAGTACACCTTGTTAAATGACAGTTAGTACACATTGTTAAATGTCAGTTAGTACACATTGTTAGATGTCAGTTAGTACACATTGTTAGATGTCAGTTAGTACACATTGTTAAATGTCTGTTGGTACACATTGTTAAATGCCAGTTAGTACACATTGTTAGATGTTAGTTAGTTCACATTGTTAAATGTCAGTTAGTACACACTATTAGATGTCAATTAGTACACACTGTTAGATGTCAGTTAGTACACATTGTTAGATCTCAGTTAGTACACAATGGTAGATGTCAGTTAGTACACATTGTTAGATGTCAGTTAGTACACAATGTTAAATGTCAGTTAGTACACAATGTTAGATATTAGTTAGTACACATTGTTAGATATCAGTTAGTACATAATGTTAGATGTCACTTGGTACACAATGTTAGATGTCACTTGGTACACATTGTTAGATGTCAGTTAGTACACATTGTTAGATGCCAGTTAGTACACAATGTTAGATGTCAGTTAGTTCACATTGTTAAATGTCAGTTAGTACACACTATTAGATGTCAGTTAGTACACATTGTTAGATGCCAGTTAGTACACAATGTTAGATATCAGTTAGTACACCTTGTTAAATGACAGTTAGTACACATTGTTAAATGCCAGTTAGTATACATTGTTAGATGTTAGTTAGTTCACATTGTTAAATGTCAGTTAGTACACACTATTAGATGTCAGTTAGTACACATTGTTAGATGCCAGTTAGTACACAATGTTAGATGTCAGTTAGTACACCTTGTTAAATGACAGTTAGTACACATTGTTAAATGCCAGTTAGTATACATTGTTAGATGTTAGTTAGTTCACATTGTTAAATGTCAGTTAGTACACACTATTAGATGTCAGTTAGTACTCAATGTTAAATGTCAGTTAGTACACAATGTTAGATGCCAGTTAGTACACATTGTTAAATATCTGTTGGTACACATTGTTAAATGCCAGATAGTATACATTGTTAGATGTTAGTTAGTTCACATTGTTAAATGTCAGTTAGTACACACTATTAGATGTTAGTTAGTTCACATTGTTAAATGTCAGTTAGTACACAATGTTAGATGTTAGTTAGTTCACATTGTTAAATGTCAGTTAGTACACAATGTTAGATGTCAGTTAGTACACAATGTTAGATGCCAGTTAGTACACAATGTTAGATGTTAGTTAGTACACATTGTTAGATGCCAGTTAGTACACATTGTTAGATGCCAGTTAGTACACATTGTTAGATGCCAGTTAGTACACAATGTTAGATGTCAGTTAGTACACCTTGTTAAATGACAGTTAGTACACATTGTTAGATGTCTGTTAGTACACATTGTTAGATGTCAGTTAGTACACATTGTTAAATATCTGTTGGTACACATTGTTAAATGCCAGTTAGTATACATTGTTAGATGTTAGTTAGTTCACATTGTTAAATGTCAGTTAGTACACACTATTAGATGTCAGTTAGTACTCAATGTTAAATGTCAGTTAGTACACAATGTTAGATGCCAGTTAGTACACATTGTTAGATGTTAGTTAGTTCACATTGTTAAATGTCAGTTAGTACACAATGTTAAATGTCAGTTAGTACACACTATTAGATGTCAATTAGTTCTCTCTGTTAGATGTCAGTTAGTACACATTGTTAGATATCAGTTAGTACGCAATGTTAGATGTCAGTTAGTACACATTGTTAATGTCAGTTAGTACACAATGTTAGATGTCAGTTAGTACACATTGTTAAATGTTAGTTAGTACACAATGTTAGATGTCAGTTAGTTTTAGTGTTTGTGAAAGTGTTCTTTCACACATTTGTGGGTAACGTCTCTAGCGTTTCATAGATCGGAAACAATAACTGGAGTCAGTAAGAGTTTGTTTGTAGATCAGAAACAATGTTTGATATTCCAATAAGTGGAGTCAGTAAGAGTTTGTTTGTAGATCAGAAACAATGTTTGATATTCCAATAACTGAAGTCAGTAAGAGTTTGTTTGTAGGTCAGAAACAATGTTTGATATTCCAATAACTGGAGTCACTAAGAGTTTGTTTGTAGATCAGAAACTATGTTTGATATTCCAATAACTGGAGTCAGTAAGAGTTTATTTGTTAGGTGTCAACTTATTCCTGTTATACCAGTCGCGCATCACTAACTTCAACTTCAGTTTTGAACTGTATGTCCTAAAAACAGTAAACAGGAACCGTTGGGTGTGAATAAACATTTAAAGTCTGATTTCCCAACAGCAACAGCAAAATTATTGATGAACGATCTCTTCCTGTTTATTTATATCTTTTAACCCTACAAACCATATCTAGGAACAACACAGTTTTTTTTTTTACATTTTTATTTTACAAGTCAAGTCATATTTCAAACACAACAGACGATTCTAAACTTTAATAATAACAAGTTAGCACAATTTTTAGTTTCAGTTATTTCAAAATGTAAACAATTAGTTGAAAACTGGATCCTTGCACTTCTCTGTTTTAAGACCTAGAACATTGTGTGGCTAGTTTCTCTACTGTTAGAGGATACGGAACCAACCAGAATCTCCAATACATCTGGTAGGACCAACCACAAGCTTCTCTAGATCTAATAAGACCAGCCACAAGCTTCATTACATCTGGTAGGACCAGCCACACGCTTCATTACATCTGGTAGTTCCAACCACATCTGGTAGGACCAGCCATAAGCTTCACCACATCTGGTAGGAGAAGCCACATGCTTCACCACATCTGATAGGACCAGCCACATCCTTCACCACATCTGGTAGGACCAGCCATAAGCTTCACCACATCTGGTAGGAGAAGCCACATGCTTCACCACATCTGATAGGACCAGCCACATCTTTCACCACATCTGGTAAGAAAAGCCACATGCTTCACCACATCTGGTAGGACCAGCCATAACTTCACCACATCTGGTAGGACCAGCCATAAGCTTCACCACATCTGGTAGGACCAGCCATAAGCTTCACCACATCTGGTAGGAGAAGCCACATCCTTCACCACATCTGGTAGGACCAGCCACATCCCTCACCACATCTGGTAAGAGAAACCACATGCTTCACTATATCTGGGTGTCACAAAGGCCACTTATGTAAGAACTTGTCTATGTTACTAGTACAGAAGTCTAGCTTAAACAACAGTACACTTTCTTCACCACATGACTCCACAAAAATGTCCTAAGTTGCAATGGGTAAAAACCAGTTTTCTCTTTACTGGTCATTTAAAGAATCAGAGCTTCTGTAGTTGCTGGCCTTGACGGTTTCTTAACAGAACGACCCCATTGAGAATTCTGTCATTTCCCGAATCAACTAGGCTTAAGATAGCATAGATTCTCTTCGTTCGGTTTAATGACCGTCCCTAAGGAAGGGTCGTAATACTAGAGTTCAATTCAACAATAACCAGTCTATGTATCGCTTCTTCCATCCCTCAAGAGAAACTCTGTCAATATTCCTTGAATCGTAACGACTGTCAAGAATATTCTCGATCTCGCTACTTACACACGACATTGTCAGCTTGGCAGTGGCCCTCCGGGGGCGATAGAAAGAGGCGGCCATTTTCACAAACACACAACTGATAAATGCCTGCGTATGTGCGACCTCTGGTGGTGGGAAGAGCAATTTTGATGTTCTTCAGTTCGATCTTTTCTGAATCCAACCATATCTGAAATTAAAACGATATTATAACAAATCTATACCTCTTGCCATTAACTTTCGCTGAAATACGTACGTTGTTAAATATATACCTCAAATACTAATTCTCTGTGCAAAATATTATTGTAAAATAATTCGAAGAAGGTTTCAGAGTTTTCATTATTTTTTCAAATACCACCTATAAGTTCTCTGGCTGAAATCTACAGGCAGACTGTAGTAAACGGTTTCTAATTTGGAAGAGATATACCATAGTAAGTAAGCAAGTCAACAACTTTCACCGCTAACTTTATAACACCTAAATCCAGGCTAAATGTGCAAGTCCAGTGATAGGATTCGAATGAGAAAAAAAATCCTTTGAAAATATTCTGCAGAATCAGTTTAAAACAAAATATATTGTTTTAACAAATTATATTTCTACAACATGAGTACATTGTCAATCATCTTACATCATTTAAAACCAAGTAACCATCAGAATGTAGAGATGAGTACAAGGTTAATCATCTTACATCATTTAAAACCAAGTAACCATCAGAATGTAGATAAGAGTACAGGGTCAATCATCTTACATCATTTAAAACCTAGTAACCATCAGAATGTAGAGAAGAGTATAGGGTCAATCATCTTACATCATTTAAAACCAAGTAACCACCAGAATGTAGAGAAGAGTACAGAGTCAATCATCTTACATCATTTAAAACCAAGTAACCATCAGAATGTAGAGAAGAGTACAGGGTCAATCATCTTACATCATTTAAAACCAAGTAACCACCAGAATGTAGAGAAGAGTACAAGGTTAATCATCTTACATCATTTAAAACCAAGTAACCATCAGAATGTACATAAGAGTATATTGTCAATCATCTTACATCATTTAAAACTAAGTAACCATCAATCTGTAGAGAAGAGTACAAGGTTAATCATCTTACATCATATAAAACCAAGTAACCACCAGAATGTAGAGAAGAGTACAGGGTTAATCATCTTACATCATTTAAAACCAAATAACCACCAGAATGTACATAAGATTATATTGTCAATCATCTTACTAACATTAAAACACAAAATAACCTCTAAATAACCTTTAACCTCTTATGTAAGGAAATACATGTAATCAAAAAAAAAAACTTTTTATGATTACCTTTCCTTCTTCGGACCGTAAAGTTAAATCTTTTCGACAAGCCGCAGTAATATCACCTGCTCTTGACTCGATGGCCACGCCCTCTGGCGCTCCAACTTTTAAGGTTCGCGTAGGTGATTCTAGCCTGGGTAAAAATAAAAAAAAAAGGTTTCGGTATAAAAACTACAATTTGGAAACCTTCAGTGGCTGAATATAATACATATAATACCAGAAATTTAAAGATATCATAATAGGGACTTGATTTTATCTTATCAATGATTTAAAGTTACCATGCTTTACTTAAAAAACACTACCGTGTATTAACGATATCAGTCATTACGTATATTACCGTGTATTAACGATATCAGTCATTACGTATATTACTGTGTATTAAGGATGTCAGTCATTACGTATATTACCGTGTATTAATGATATCACTCATTACGTATATTACCGTGTATTAAGGATGTCAGTCATTACGTATATTATCGTGTATTAACGATATCAGTCATTACGTATATTACCGTGTATTAACGATATCAGTCATTACGTATATTACCGTGTATTAACGATATCAGTCATTACGTATATTACTGTGTATTAACGATATCAGTCATTACGTATATTACCGTGTATTAATGATATCACTCATTACGTATATTACCGTGTATTAAGGATGTCAGTCATTACGTATATTACCGTGTATTAACGATATCAGTCATTACGTGTTTTTGATAAGACAGGTCTAATTATTTAGTAGTTTGAAACCGTAATTGTAAAAGTCTGATAACATCCGGTTACATCTGTTTCTATTATTTAAAGATCGTGAATATTACACGTAGTGTTATCTGCTTATAATCCTCCAGATGGCGTGTCGAGGTAAGTAGTGAAACATTGTTACAACTTTCAGCAGTATGTATGAATAACACCTTTCCAAATTTCTAGTGTAATTAACAAGTTCTGTTACAAACCTGAGTTGTTGAAACGATTCAGACCGTACTAGAGGAGTTTGGATTGACCCGTCAAATATAACTCCCCCTGAACCTGGAAAGAAAGAAAAGGGTTAATATAGAAACATAAATCTTGTATCCTGTCATTAAAGAAAAGGGTTAATATAGAAACATAAATCTTGTTTCCTGTGATGAAAGAAAAGAGTTAATATAAAAACATAAATCTTGTATCCTGTCATTAAAGAAAAGGGTTAATATAAAAACATAAATCTTGTTTCCTGTGATGATAGAAAAGGGTTAATATAAAAACATAAATCTTGTATCCTGCGAAGATAGAAAAGAGTTAATATAAAAACATAAATCTTGTATCCTGTGATGATAGAAAAGAGTTAATATAAAAACATAAATCTTGTATTCTGCGAAGATAAAAAAGAGTTAATATAAAAACATAAATCTTGTATCCTGCGAAGATAGAAAAGAGTTAATATAAAAACATAAATCTTGTATCCTGTGATGATAGAAAAGAGTTAATATAAAAACATAAATATTGTATCCTGTGAAGATAGAAAAGAGTTAATATAAAAACATAAATCTTGTATCCTGCGAAGATAGAAAAGAGTTAATATAAAAACATAAATCTTGTATCCTGTGAAGATAGAAAAGAGTTAATATAAAAAAATAAATCTTGTATCTTGTATCCTGTGATAAAAGTAAAGAGTTAATATAAAAACATAAATCTTGTATCCTGCGAAGATAGAAAAGAGTTAATATAAAAACATAAATCTTGTATCCTGTAATGATAGAAAAGAGAGTTAATATAGAAACATAAATCTTGTATCCTGTAATGATAGAAAAGAGTTAATATAGAAACATAAATCTTGTATTTTGTATCGTGTGATAAAAGTAAAGAGTTAATATAAAAACATAAATCTTGTATCCTGCGAAGATAGAAAAAGAGTTAATATAAAAACATAAATCTTGTATCCTGTGAAGATAGAAAAGAGTTAATATAGAAACATAAATCTTGTATCCTGTAATGATAGAAAAGAGTTAATATAGAAACATAAATCTTGTATCCTGCGAAGATAGAAAAAGAGTTAATATAAAAACATAAATATTGTATCCTGTGATGAAAGAGAAGGGTTAAAAAAAAACATAAATCTCGTATCCTGTGATGAAAGAAAAGGGTTAATAGAAACATAAATCTTGTATCCTGGGATAAAAGTAAAGGGTTAATATAGAAATATAATCTGTGTTATATAGATACATATAATAAAATTAATCCTTTCATTATTCTTGTTGTCAGTAAGAAACGTTGATATTATCTATTGTAGCAGAAAACTGAACAGTGGGTTACATGCGTTACATCTTGTACGAGGTACGAACCCCAAATTCTAGATTTATAAACACTGGGAACTGTAGTGTGAGGAAACATAGTTTTGTCAAACAACCAGTACAGATTCTGCTAAATTAAGAAAATGACAACCAATTCATAGAATACTTACTGCCTCTGGCTTTGAATTATTAATAGTTGGAAGTTTGTACATATTGTCTTTAGAGGAATGCAACATGAAATACACGTCTTTAGACACAAGTACTGAGTTAGGGTTAAAATCATCGTTCTTAATTAGAATCTTCGTGTAGTGGTACAGTGTAAACATTTGTACAGAAGCTCACAAGGGCCATGTTAACAATAGCATAACTAAAACACAGTGCATCTTCAATCGCTATCTTTTAAAATGTTGCTGTAAAAAAAAAGGTTAATTAGAAAAGAAACAAAAACCTTTAACGATTTCAAAAGTGTATGTTACAAAACGTATGTTTGATGCGGCCACGTGCAATCTAATTATTATAAAACATTGGAAATCAATGTTTGATCAATTAATCACTGTTTCTAAAGCTGGCAGTCAATTCTTTTAAAATGTGGGGAGTAAATCCATTTATTACTTACTTCATAAAAAATGTTAAATGAACAAAAGTAAGCTACAAATGGAATCAGATCTATTTTTATAATTAATTTATTGACTTTCATATAAGTTGATATACTTTTATTTCCTTGCCTCAGTAGTTCCTTATTAAAGACCGATCTCTCTCACGCATGCGTGATGAACAAAGCCTCGTTTTCAGATATTGGTTCAAACGTCTTTTTTAAGAATGTTGCCGTAAAGGTTTAACGACACTACATGAATTTAAAAATTACTTTTATATACCAGGATGTCAGGAAGATGACAGAAAACTAATATTGTTGTTTGTGTGTTATAACATTGCTATGCAGCAACTTACAAACCAAGATCGGATATTCGTGTTTTAAGTTTGAAATACTTTTACAGTCAAAACTCAAGAATCATGACGACACTATTTTAGTACTGGGAAATATTTCTATATAAAGAACTGTGTAACTGTCCACTTCTGTTATTGATGGAAGAACGAACCTTATGTACTTTTAGAAATGTTATTACCGTTCAGAAAGAAACCCTATGATTAAGTGACGAGCAGGAGGATTTAAATGTTTTTACCGTTCAGAAATAAACCCTATGATTAAGTGACGAGCAGGAGGATTTAAATGTTATTACCGTTCAGAAAGAAACCCTATGACTAAGTGACGAGCAGTAGGATTTAAATGTTATTACCGTTCAGACAGAAACCCTATGATTAAGTGA